CTACTAACACCTAAGTGTTTTTTCGAATTGATTGGCCTTTTAAATTTTTTTCAATAATTTGCAAGCAAATGTGCTTTGAAAGTATCATATTTTTTTGTATTCAACCAGAGATATGCATTATCTTATAATATTTATGAATATTACCTGATCTTAAATTACGTTATTACAGTATATTATTATCGTTATTATGCTGAAATAATAAACCGGATTAGCTGAAAATCATTCAGATAATTTTTATCAGGTTTCCTAATAAATATTGAAATTATACAAGCATTCTTCACAACTTGCAATTTGGATAATTAGAAAATTATTCTAATTATTCTGTAATATTAACCCATTTTTATTAAATTCGCATTTTAAAAAAAATACATTTTTAAAATGAATTTTTAATACATGTATAATAATGGAATTTAGTGCTTAAATTTCTAGTATTTTAGTAGACTAAGTATTTTAGTACTATAATTTAAAATGTGTATTAATATATGTATGTTTCAAAATTTTAATATAAATAAAAAGAATAGAAGCATACCTCATATTAATAAGAAAAAGGATCATAAGACCCTGATAGACAAACCAAACGAACTAGTAAATTCTATTAAATAGTTCATCATGACTGACTATCTCTAAATGTTTTATATGTCATAACTAAGATTCCAAAGAAAATCTTAGCATAAATAAATTTTAAAACTACAATTATATTCACGATTCAATTTGAATATTGATTCCATGCATATTCTGTTAACCTGACTAAGTCAAAAGGGTATGATAGTTTTAATATATAACAAACTAATTCAAAACTCCATATGCAAACAGAGATATACTTACCAATGTATAGCATTAATACTTAGGTTCTTAATAAATATAATGTATATCACGATTTTTTTTTTTTTGAATGCGGTTTTTAAATAAGCTTGGACCCTGAACTAAAACAAAAGTCTAAATTTTCAGTAACTATACTTTAAACGAATATTACTTATGCTTTTTGGAGTTAAAACATTAATCGCACTTTAATTCTCGTTCTCTATTAATAAATTTTAAATTACTAGAGTAAAATAATTTAAATGTGATTAGATGAGAATATTCAATAATATATTTGAATTAATGGGGTTTCGAAATTAACAAATAAGTGCACACTTTGAAATAAGTAGAAGTTTTTGAATAGACTTTTACTATGTTGAATTATAAATCAGAAAAATAAAATAAGATTTTCTGGTTTTAATTTTGTAACCCTGTTATCTGATTTCAAAAATCTAATATTTTATTCTATGATCTTTATAAATGTGATTACACAATTTAACTATCAAAAACTCTATTCATTTTCTGATGGAAAAATTGAAAAATTACTACTATTTCTTTTTAAGAACAACATCTAATTAACTAAATCTGGAGAAAGACGAGTTCTTCTTGCTGAAATATGGACACCAGCATCGGAAAATAAGCGTTTAGATGAAACTGATGTCGCAGGAACAGACAAATACTTACGGGCAAGTTGACTGAGCAGTGGAAAGCTTGCACATCTTTCTTCCACCATATTAAAGGGTCTTGGTCCTTAGGAGCAACTTGTTCTCTTAAATATCTTGTTAACTCATCCTCAGTAGCAGTTGGTAGATCAGGCATTAAATGCGAACCCCATAATTCAGCACTCAGAGAATCACAATCTTCTACAGTAGCTTGTGTTCTTTCAGTATTGCTTTCATTATTATTAGGTTTTAATGCAAATAATTCTGCATGAATTTGGTCTTCTACATTTTTTTTTTCATTAAGAGTAGCAAATGAAAGAAATTTTAACATACGCGGATCTAACAAAGAAGCTTTCAGTCCAATTTCATGAGAAACCTCCCATAATTCATTAAGAGACAAATAAATTGCAGTATGCATTCTTTTCAAAAGCCCATTGCAGTTTGTAGAAGGTAAATATCTTACTACATTTTAATCATCTAATTCTTCTATTCTATTTACACTTTTTTTTTTGTATTTTTTTACATGATTACGACCACTATTTTGACGATATACACTTCGACGCACATGCGCATACTGCCATTGTTTTCTATTTCCAGCTGATGGTATATCAGCTTTGTCATCACTACTAACGCTTGTATCACTATCTGCTATTTGATCAGAATCTTCTGATAATGATCTGTAGATGAAATCCAACCAAGATTCGACTGATTCACCCTTTTCAGCTACTGGAGCATATTTATTTTTTAACATTCGAATATAAGAGTATATGAGATTCATAGTAGGGTATTTTGCACCACAAATGTGTCTTGTTACTTCTTCAAACGGTTTTAAAACCTCTACCATTTCTTTTACTAAGCTTTAGAAAAAAAAAATTTTTATTAAACAAAATAATACAATAATACAAATTATTATTTATTAAAATTAATAATATTACAGTATTAAAATTTTTAAAA